GCGGCGGTAGAAAGCCAGGCTGCTGCTGCTCCCTGAGGAGACTGAGGGCACCCAGGACCAGGGTGCCAAGGGCAGCCCTGGTTTCAGCCAAGCTCGCAGCTGGAGAGCTTCAGGTGGCAATGCTGCTCCACCTGCAAAGGGAAACTTTGCTGCTTGATAACAGCTTTAATTGTCTCTCTAGATTGCAGACTTTGGCCTGTCCAATGTTTACCAGCAGGACAAACTTCTGCAGACTTACTGTGGCAGCCCTCTCTACGCATCCCCTGAAATCATCAATGGGAGGCCGTACAAGGGCCCGGAGGTAGGTTGTGCCTCACTCCCTGTGTGTGGGAATGTCTTGCTGCCTCTTCGCTTGGACTTGGGAAAGCGCTGGGTGTTTTCCCAGTGGAGCATTGTGGGCAGAGCCCTGCCTGTGTGGTTTGGGGTAACAGATCCCCTAAGACCAAGCGCCGCATGGTTGGTGTGTGGCAGCCACAGTGGGGTGGATGTGGTGGGATGCAGGTGGCTGGAGCTGGTCCTGCCCCACGCTCCATCCTCCCCCGTGGCTGCTGCCATCCTGGGAGCTGTCGCTGAGGCTCTGGTGGGGGGGTCCTGCCTAGCCGGGGTGGGGGCCAGGGCAGCCTGGTCCTGCTGCCCCCCTCCAGGCTCATCTGTCCCTCTGGCAGGTGGACAGCTGGTCCCTGGGCGTTCTCCTCTACATCCTGGTCCACGGCACGATGCCGTTCGATGGCCACGACTACAAGACTCTGGTCAAGCAGATCACGAGCGGGGACTACCGGGAGCCCACGAAGCTGTCAGGTAGGCAGACCCCCGCCACCCTGTGCGTTCCCCCTCTGCGTGTTCCCTTCGGTGCCTGACCTGCCTCTCCCCCAGATGCCTGCGGGCTGATCCGGTGGATGCTGATGGTGAATCCGGAGCGCCGTGCCACCATCGAGGACATTGCCACGCACTGGTGGGTGAACTGGGGCTACAAAGTGCCTGTTGGGGAGCAAGAGCTGCTGCGGGAGAGCGAGTCCCCCCTGGCCACGGTGGCAGAGTGGCTTCGCCGCTCCTCCCGGCCCCTCCTGGAGAATGGTTCCAAGGTGCGATGCTTCTTGAAGCAGCACATCCCTGGCGTGGCCCTGGAGCGGCAGCGCTCCCTCAAGAAGTCCAAGAAGGAGAACGATGTCTCCCACGTGCTGCAGGAGGTGGCCCTGACCCCGGAGAACCCCTCCAAGTCCATCCTCAAGCGGCCCAAGGGCATCCTGAAGAAGAGAAACTCCTGTGAGCAGAAGGTGCCCGGCCCGGGCCCCCCGCCGACGGTGCCCATGGGAGAGGCGAGGGGTGAGGATGGCGAGGTAGCCGCTGCAGGTCTCACCCAGATCCTGTCCTCCGGGATGCTGCCTTGCAGCACAGGCGTTGGAGCGGTGCCCACGGCCATGCCCAAGAAGGGAATACTTAAAAAGCCCTCGACGAGGGAGTCGGGGTATTACTCATCCCTGGAGTGCTGTGAGTCTGGGGATATCCTGGACGCGGGGAGCTTGGACCTCGATGGGAGCGTGTTTGCTGACAACCCCTCCCCGGAGCAGGGCCCCCAGGGTCTCCCCATGCGCCGGAAAGGCATCCTCAAGCACAACGGCAAGTACTCCTCTAGCAGCACCGAGCCAGAGAGTCCCCCTGGGCAGGGCTTCGGGGCCTTTGGTGAGGTGCCCCTGCCCCAGGCGCCCCGCGCCCGCCCGTCCAACGCCGTGAGTGAGGACAGCATCCTCTCCACGGAGTCCTTCGACCAGCTCGACCTGCCCATCCGTGTCCCCCACCGCGGTGGGGGCATGCGGGGCTGTGTCTCTGCTGACAGCCTCCTCCGGCTGGAAGAGGAGGAGGAGGTGGAGGAAGGGCGCAGGCTGCGCCGCTGGACTGTGACCCATTGCCGGAGTCCCCTGGGAGAGAGCAGCTTGTCCCTGGCAGGCTGTGACAATGTCACCGAGGTCTACCGGCGCGCCATGGCCATCGGCATGAAGCTGAGCTGAGGGCACCTCCCGGCAGGGCTCCCTGGGGTAGCGCGTGTTGGGGAGGGGGCTGAGCCCTCCCTGCCCCGGTGCTGCTGAGCCACGTCCCACGTATTTATTTTGCAGCCTCGTGCCCCTCGGGGAGGAGCGCGGGTGCAGGCAGGGAGGGAGCTGCGGTGGCTGTGGGGCGTTGGCGGGGGGACACCCCAGGACCAGGACATTAAATGGACCAAAGCCCCGAGTGATCCAGCCACCACCCCCATGGAGGGGCTGGGGGGTCCCGGGGGCTCCTTGCTGCTGTCTTCTCCTTGCAAACAGGCTCATCTCATCGGGGGGGAAACCAAGGGGATGGGGGGATATTTTTTTTTTTTCTTTGCACTGTTTTTTGGCTGCACAAGATAATGGATGGGGCAGGTGATATACCTCAAACAAGCTGGAGATGTAGCAGGGTGCTGGCGAGGGACTGAAAGGTGCTGCCCTGGCTGCTGCCTGTGGGCTGGGCTCTCAGGATGTGCTGGCAACAGGGTCCAACCACCCACACCCCAGCTCTTCCCTCTCCTGCACTGAGAAACCTAACTGGATCTGGCCGAAACCCCAGTCTGAGAACACGCTTTGATGCCAACATCTTTTTTTTTTTTTTTTTTTTTTTTTAATGTTGAAAGGAGGAAAAAAAAAAGTGCCTTTAGTGAGGCACCACTTCTTTATTTATTGCCTTTGTCCGACTTGATGTAAGACTTCAGCAGCACAGGATGTGTCTGGCTCCATAATGGCCACCCAGATGTTTTTCATGGAGGGGGTGGAGGGGTCTGTGCCGTTGTCTCATGTGCCGCACGTCGAAGCTCTGTTGCACTATTGCCGCGTGTTCGCTGGCCCTTTCCCTTCTCCAGGGTCTGTGTGTCTCCTCCTCCTTCCTACAAAGTGGTCTTGAGGAAAACCATTAAATTAAAAGCAAATGGTAGATCCGAGTTGTTTTCTTGATTGCTGTGCCACTGCAGCTCGGGGGGTGGCGGGGAGGTGTGATGGGGTGCTGCTGCCTCAAGCTGCCTGTCCTGGGCTGGTGTCTCCCCCTGGGACAGGGCTTTACACAGCACTGGGTCTCACTCCAGTACAGATGAGCATGAGTTAGCTCCGGACACATGTCCTGTGGCTTGTGACACCTCCATGCAGCGTGTGCTCAGCCCCTCCAGGGCTCCAGCACATGCCCCTTCTCCAGCAATGGGGCCACTGTGCGGTCTTAAACTGGTGCCTCCTGCCAGTGCTGATTGGTGCTGAGCTGCGACTTGGCATATCCCTTATGCAGGGGCTCAGCGCTCACAGGGAGGGTGACTGGTTGTAGTCCTACCCCTTGCATGACCCAGCAAAGGGGGGCTGGCTGGAGGCAGGACCTGTTGTCGGGGTACCACAGCACTGGTGCAGCGATGCTGCTGGTACTGTGCCCCTGACCCAAAGGGGAACAAACAAGCAGAGCCCAAAGTCTAAGGGAAGCTGCGATGGAGGCGGATGGCTGCTGAGGATGATGGACCCGTTCCCCCTGGGTTGCCCCCCTCCCCACCGCGGGCAGCCCTGCTGTCCCAGCTCCACTCCCAAACCCCTTTCGCAACGCTGGTGGTGCGTGGATTTAGATTTGTGAAGGATCTGCAGGTCTTGGTGGCAGGAGCTCCCTCCTGGGCAGCCGCCATCTCCTCTCAGAGTGCCTGCAGGTGCCTCTGCCAGAGGAAGGACTGAGCAAGGCTGAGCCTTAGCAGCCGGAGCTCGGCCGTGGTGCAAACCACGGGGTTGTCTCCTCCCTGGCCCTTTCCCCCAGCTTCCTTTATCCTCTTCTCCTGCTGCGGCGTTGAAACCAGTTTTATTGCTCTAAAAAGCACTGTAACGATTTCCCATTTCCAGTGGGGTTAATAGGAGACATTTCAGGTCTCCTCCACCCCACCGTGGAGAGGCTGAGCCGCAGGTGCAGGGCTGCCTGCCAGGAATGCCGCCCCTCGTCCCGTGTGGCTGAAGCCGTGGGGGACCACGCACGCTCTGCCCCCCGCCGCGCATTCCCCGCGTGCTTCCCGCGTCATTAAGAAACCCCACGCCATTAAGAAACGCTGGAGCGCTTAAAGCCGCTCCGAGGGCATCCAGCTTAGCCAGGGCAAAGTCCCGGTGTCCTGTGGGCTGCCGCGGCAGGATGGGGCGAGCCGGGGGCTGCAGCACCCATGGGTCCGGGGCATGGAGCATCCCAAGGCAGAGGTCAGGTCAGGCTGAGTTTTTAACAGCCACTGAGAGACAGAGCCTCCTTTTTGGAAAGCATCTGTGGGTTTGGTTTCTGGAGCATCCTGGGGTGCTGCGGTCCTGTTTCATTAATGATTTGCAAGAAAATGTTCTTGCGTGCTGGCTTCAGAGCCGGGCTGAGCTGCGGCAGCTCTGGGTGGGCACCACATGGGTGCGAGACACACGCTGACCACCCCATCGCGCGTGTCCCGGCTGGCAGCAGCTGCTGTTTGCACTGGTTTAGGAGCGGTGTCTTGGTCGGCTCAGCCCAGCCCCAGCTTGTGGCGGCCCCCTGGGGCTGTGGTGGCGAGCAGAGCCCCTGCCCACCCTGTCCTGGTCCGCAGCAACGTGCAAGGGTGAGAAACACCGTCGGAGACTCCCAGGGCTGGATGAGCAGGTGAAGGAGGCAGTCTCAGCCCAAAGGCACCTCAGAGGTGGTGGGAGGGGGCCACAGTGACTGTCCCCCATCCCTGCTGGTGTCCCTGCTCCCCATGCTATGCCCGTGCTCCCGGCATTCCCCCGCCAGCCCTTGGAAACCGCCTGTTCATCCCAGCCCTGATTTCCATTGCCTCTGCCCCCCCGTACGGCGGCTGCCCCCCACAGCCAGGGGCTGAGCCCCCCTTTCAGGCCACGACTATTATTAACGGCTCTCTTTTATTCAGCCCTTTCATCCCGAGGATTTGCAAACCCTCTGCTTCCCTCCTGCTTCCCGAGCTCCCGGGAGCCACTTGGCGCAGCCCTGGCCCCCCGTGGGTGTTTGAAGCGGGTGAAAATGACCTCAGTGGCATTTTGCTGAGAAAATGCCATTTTTCAGGGGTGACTTCAGCCGACCTGCTGCGTTTGCTGCCAGCGCAGGCAGTGCTGCCTCGGCTTGTGGGAGCGGAGCTGTGCTCCCGCCAGGCTGGCTTGGGGGAGAGGGAAACAGGGAGAAACACCCAAAGATAAATTGTCCCGGATGATGAGGTAATGCTGGAGTGCTTGGAGTGCATATTGCCCTGTGGATTTATATCAGCCTGGTGCAAGCTTCCCTTGTCACTGTCCTGAGGGGTTACCCGGGTGAAGCCGGCCCACAGCAAGCACCGTGGCTGCTGGGGGACAGCCTGGACCCTGTCCTGCTGGTCCTCGGGGTGCTGGCTTCTTACTGGGGGCAGTTGGTACGTCCCCACAGGCTGCACCCCAGGATCTGGCACTGTGGACATTGCCAGAGGGCAGGTGTGGGGATTTTCAGGCATGAAAATTGGGCATTTCCAGAGATTTTTCAGGTGGGGGGCGTTGGGGTGGATGGCATGGCTGTGGCTTGGTGGGTCACTTGCACCCCAGGCGTCCTGCACCATGCACCAGCCCAGACCTACAACCCCTGCTCATCTGGGGGCTGTTTCGGGAGCCACGTCCCCCCCGTGTGACATCCACGAGCAGCCCCAGGGCCTGCGTGCACTGAAAAAAAGGGAGAAAAGGGTATTTGGGGGCTGGGGTGGCTGGCTGGAGGAGGGGAAG